TTATATTTTTTATTGATTTTATACAGAGAGGAAGGGGGAGAGATAGAGAGCCAGAAACATCAATGAGAGAGAGCCATCGATCAGCTGCCTCTTGCACACCCCCTACTGGGGATATGCCTGCAATCAAGGTATATACCCTTGACCAGAATCGAACCCAGGACCTTTCAGTCCCCAAGCTGACGCTCTATCCATTGAGCCAAACTGGTCCCGGCATCATTTGATTTTTAGTTTCATTTGTTGATAGATATGTATCTGTTGTCACTCTGTTGTTCATAATTTTTTATCTTTATCTTTTTCTTCTTCTCCTTCCTCTTCTTAAAGAATACCCTTCAGCGTTTCATATAATACTGGTTTGGTTGTGATGATCTCCTTTGGCTTTTTCTTGTGTATGAAGCTCTTTATCTGACCTTCAATTCTGAATGATAGCTTTGCTGGGTAGAGTAATCTTGGTTGTGGGTTCTTGCTATTCACCACTTTGAATATTTCTTGCCACTTCCTTTTGGCCTGCATAGTTTCTATTGAGTATTCAGCTGACAGTAGTATGGGTACTCCCTTGTAGTAACTAACTGTTTTTCTTTTGCTGCTTTTAATATTCTCTCTTTGTCTTTTGTCCTTGGCATTTTAATTATGATGTGTCTTGGTCTGGTCATATTTGGATTTCTCTTGTTTGGGGTTCTCTGTACTTCCTGGACACTTGTAAGTCTATTTCTTTCATCAGGTAGGGGAAGTTTTCTACCATTATTTCTTTAACTAGATTTTCAGTGTCTTGTTCTCTCTCTTCTTCTGGCATCTCCATAATTTGGATGTCGGTATGCTTGAAGTTGTCCCGGAGGCTCCTTACACTATCTTCATATTTTTGGATTACTTTTTTCTTTTTGTTTTTCCAGCTGGATGTTTTTTTGCTTCCTCATATTTCAAATCTTTGACTTGATTCTTGGGATCCTCTATCTACTGTTGAATCTCTGTATATTATTCTTTATTTCAGTCAGTGTATATTTAATTTCTGACTGGTCCTTTCTCATGTTTGGGAAATTCTCACTAAGATCTTGGAGGTCTCACTAAGTTCCTCAGAGGTTTCTAGAAGATTCTTGGGTAACCTTATAACTGTGGTTTTGAGCTCTATATCCAGTAGTTTGCTTTCTTCCATTTCTTTTATTTGCAACATGTTTCTTTGTCTCCACATTTTGGCTGCTTCCTTGTGTTTGTTTCTATGTATTGGGTAGCTGCTAAGTTTTCTTGAGTGATAGAGAGGCCTTGTGTAGTAGGTGTCCTATAGGGCCTAGTGGCTCAGCTTCCCAAATCACATGAGGTGGACATTCTTGGTGCACCCCTTTGTGGGTTTTTTGCACAGTCTTGTTGCACAGTTTAGCCTTGATTGTTGTTGGTATTACTGGGAGGATTTGACCTCCAGGCCATTTGGCTGTGAGGACCAGCTGTGTTTACAATGGAAGAACTCCTTGCGCAGGAGACACCCTTATGGGGCAGGACTTGCTTCATTGGGGCTTTGGTGCTCACTGAGTCTGCCCCTTAAATGTGTCACTTATGAATGTGAAGAGTTGTAATCTGGTATGGTCTCACACTGACCACTGGGTACACTGGCTCTTGGATCTCCAAGGAGGTGCAAAGTCAGCACTGCCTGTGGCCACCCAGCAGGAGCTACAGAGAGATCTTCAGATTCCTCCTCTTTGTATCAGGTTTGGAAATGCCCAGTCGAGGCCCAGCTGTGCAGCAAAGCAGGCTGCCGATGGTGCATGTCTTGGGCCTTCTTCAGGTTTGGAAATGCCCAGTCGAGGCCCAGCTGTGCAGCAAAGCAGGCTGCCGATGGTGCATGTCTTGGCCTTCTTTTGATAGCTTTGGGGCTCCCTGACCCAGCTGCAGCTTGTTTGACAGCTTTTAGGCTGAGAAAGCACAGACCATTCATATACAAAAGCCACTTCACACAGCTTGGGTGGGGTTGTAAATTGGGTAGGGTGGGGTCTCAGGGAATCTCTAGGATGGAGTAACTGCCAGTCAGCCCTGCACTGGGGGTGTCACAGCACAGGAACAATGACCGTTGTGAGCACCTCCATCTGGAAGAAAGCTGCCCCCACATTCCTGCCCCAATGCCAGACAGTCCAGTTTCTCCCTCTGTGTCTGGGTCCCCCAGAGTCTTGCCCGGAACTGGAGCTCAAAGCAAGTGGCAGCGTGTATATCTCCCCCAATTAAAAAAAATGGCACACCTGGGTGCCAGCCCATTCCGTGCCTCAGCACCTCCTACCAGTCTCAATGTATTTTCTAATTTACCTCTCTAGTTGTAGTACTTCCTCTCAGCCAGCTTTCCCACAGTTCTGGATGATCATTGTTATGTATTTTAGTTGTAATTTTGATATATTGTGGGAGGCAGCAAAGACAGGTTTTTACCTATGCTGCCATCTTGATTCTAGAAAGCGCTTGTCAAATTATTCACCACTATGTAAACCTAAGGTATCATCATCATTATTATTGAGAATTAAGTCTAAATTTCTTAGCTTGACATTTAAGATGCTTCATAACATGATCTTTCAACCTATATTTTCAATTTTATCCCCATTCCCTCATATAAATTTAACTTGCAAATAACATTTTCACTTTATATAATTCACTTGGCAATAAATCCTGTACCATCCCATGTTGCTTCTCCTATTGTTTCTTCTCTTTCAATCCTGCATGATTTCATTTTTCACAAATCTGTGTCCCCAGTGAACAGATAAACTTCTGAATGACAGAGTTCATAAGTACCTTGAGCATCAAGGCTGTTTAATAATGTTGATTGGTTTTGTTTGACACACTGGCTTAGGTTCATCTTCACTTTGGAAACTCTCACTCTGGAATTTGGTGTCATAGTCAATTTTGCATGAATTTTGAATTGCTTTGCATAATTATCATGAAGCTATGTAATCTTTGAGAAGCAAAATTTTGAAAAATTATGTATTGCTAACAAACACCTTTAACTGTGGTTGGGACTCAGTGTCAAACAGACCAACAAGCAGCTCCTAATCCTATGTGCCCTTTTCAGAACTATGATCCCATGCATCCTGATGGCCTTTTTATGACCTTGGGAGTATTTTTTATCAGTGTACATTTGTTGTTATCGCTTGAATGATATTCAAGTAAATTTTTTCCATTGAAATAAATTCCCAGAAGTCTGAGAAATCAAGCAGAAGAGAAGAATATGTAAGGCACAGTAGAAACTATAGGGTAAATCTAAGAGAGGTTTTGGAAAGCATAATAATTACCTTGCAAAAATAGCTACATTCTAGTCACTGGGACTTATGGAGATGAGATGATAAAAATAGAGGTTAGAGTGATGAAGTGATGGAGTCACAAGCCAAGGAGTGCAGGCTACCTCTAGAAGCTGGGAAGAAACACACACACACACACACACACACACACACACACATATACACATAAAGAAGAAACAGATTCTTCCCTCAAAGCCTCCAGAAGGAGTGCATGGCCTTGCTGACTCTGATTTTAGTCCTGTAAGACCTATTTTCAGGGTTTGAAACTCCAGAATAGTAAGATAATAAGTTTATGTTATATTAAGTCACTAGATGGGTGGTAATTTGTTGCAGCATCAGTAGGAAATGAATACAGTGGTAAAATAAAAACAACCCTGAACTAGAGATCTGTCACAATCTGGCTTCTGCTGCATGCATAGTAATTGTGTTATCTCAGCAAAACCACTCTACTTCAATTTCCTTTCCTGTAAAGTGAAATTAGACCTGCCTTACAGTGTTGTTATGAAGTTATCATTACTCATGTGAGCACTTTGTAAAGTGTCTTGTGTTATACAACTGTTAGGTGTACTTTGACTAAGTCAAAGTACAGTTAAGTCAAAGGGGAAGAACAGGAATGAAGACGTTTGTCTTTAGTGTATTAATACCTTAAATTTACACTCTAACCTATTCTGTAACAACCATGCTGTGTTCCAAGTGGCCTCCTGCAGGGATGGACATCCAGCACACTTGTCTGAGCCTTCCCCCCATCAACCAAAGTGAACATGGCTAATTGGTTGCAGAATCCTTTGCCCAAGAGTCAAGACTCAGCCTTAGAGACCTTCTTAACCCACCTGCAGGAGGTTGCTATCAACGAACTAGAGCTGGCAGGCAAGAAGAAACTTAGCAAGTTTGGTCCCTTGGCCAGCAGCATGGACATCACCTGAGAGCTCCATGGAAATGCAGATCCTCAGGCCCGTCCTGGAGCTACTGACTCAGAATCTGTATCTTGACACGATCTCTGGGTGTGTCCCTTGTACTTGTTGAGAGGATATATTCTGGGGTGGTTTGAACTCCAGCTGTATAAGTTATTATTGTGTGGCCTCAAGCAGTGTCTAGAGCATCAAAACCTGTTTTCCCATCAATACAGTGGAGAATAATACCCACCACGTTGGTTTGTTATGAGAATTAGAGAGGCTGCACATGTAAGGCATTCTGCACAGTGCCTGCCAACAAATGCTCAGTTAATAATAGTTCTTTTCATTGTACGGTTTTGCACCCTCTACAGCTGCTAACCAGACTACACATTCATTCAGCATTGCTTGAGCCTCACCACAGGGTGGATTTCCAAAGCCCACAGAGGCAGGAGGGGTGTGTGTGTGTGTGTGTGTGTGTCAGAAACATGGTCAGAAATGCCTGTCCCAGATAACCAGGACACTGTACTTTTTGCAACACGTATCCAATGCCAGGTGGTCTCTTCGCTGCACTTGGCTTTAGCAGAAACCTACTAGAGTCTAGACAGCCATGGAGACTGATGACCCGTGGGAGAGACAGAGCAAGGGCCAGCATTCATGCTGAGTGGCTCTGGGCCCATGCCTCTACCTTCATTTCCTTCTGAACTTTGGTTTCCATGCAGCAGAGCCTTCATCAGGGAGCCCCTGCTCAGCTGCCCCCTGGCGCGCAGCTGCAGCAGCGGCGGTGGCAATCCCTTCCCCGGGTCTGGGGGGCCGAGGGGCTGGGCGGAGGTGCGGGGGGCGGAGCTCGGCGTCCTGCTGCTGCTGCCTCCGCTGCCGCCGGCGAAGCTGCCGCCCCTGGCTCGGATGCTCAGGCCCCGCTGCACTGCCCTGCGTGGACAGACGGGTGCACGCCGGGCCTGACGGATGAGCAGCCTGGCCCCCGAACTGCCACCTCCCCATCTGGCTCCGTGCCCGGCGGTCCGGCGGTGGGGGCGGCCCCGCCGTCTCTCTGCAGGCTCCTGCGCGGTCTCCCCGCCGGCTTCTGCGCGCCGCCTCTGCTCTTTACATAGTAATTTCAGTTCCTGCAAGCGCCCTGCTCGCTCCGGCTCCCGGAACAGGTCTCAGAAGAGCCGCCGCTCCGAGCACACCGGGGCCATCCGTGCGGCGCGGAGAGCCGCTGCTTGGGCGATGCGACGGGAGCCCCCACCGCAGCCCCGGCAGTGGCCCCGCCGCGCCGAGAAGAGCGGGGCGACAGGCAGGTAAGGCGACCGACCCGGGCCCTCAGGGGAAGGCGACGCCCCAGCCTGTACCCCCGCCGCCCAGTGTCCAACCCCGGGGACCGGAGCAGAGTTGTGCCTGGTACTGATGGGGGATTGATTCGGCCCCACGTTACCTGGTGATCTGTTGCCTGTTGCTCTTGTCTCCATCCCATTCTGCGCTCCTGGAGGGGCTGTCTTGCTCCCAGGTGATGAATTTCTCTGCAAGGTCATTGCTCCCTTAGGCTCTGACTCTGAAGGTAAATGGGAAAAGACGCTGCAGTTCTTGTTCTTGGGCAGGAGGGATTTATAATCAATGGATCTGCACACTGTGAATATCCCAATAGGCAGATGTGGTGTGTGTGTGTGTGTGTGTGTGTGTGTGTGTGTGTGTATGAATGCTACACTGGCATGTTTCTTATTTCCCTGTGCTTATTCTTATTCTCTTTAAGGTCAAGACACTATTGTTGTACATAAAATATATGCGTTTGTGTGTGAGTGTATGCAGACACCTTTACATGTATACAGTCTCTCTTAGATAGGCGGAGTGGGAAGGAGAAGGGCGGGCAGAGGTTGATCAAGGGAAATCACTGTAGAGACCTGTTCGGTGTCTAGAGGTGAACTTTGGAACCAGATTAAATCAGGGCTGAGGTTACAGGCTATAAATGGTTCTTGGGGAGATGGACATTAGAAAAAACAGCTAAAGAACAACTGTCAGCAGTCCACACCGCAGATCTTCGTGTTATCCAGGCAGATCTGAAAGACACTGCCAACAATGGACAGGGAAAGGGGAAGGGGGGGAGGAAGGGGGTCCTTAGACACTGGAAAGTGAATTTCGTTTGGGGGGGTGGGAAGGCAGCAAGTCCCTGGCAGGTTTAAAGGGCCTTCTGGAGGGAAACTAGGAGAAATCTCTGCTCGGAACGTAGGCACTTCAAGGTTAGGATGATGAGAATGTCCAGCAAGCGGCAGAGGCAGTGGGGAAGAGACGAGGGTTTGGAGGAGGAGGAGGAGGAGGGGAAGCAAAGCTCTGAGAGTCACCTAGAAGCAACCACCATTTATGAAGGCATCTCTCTCTTTTCAGATTAAATCAATACCTTGGCTATGCTCCATCTAAAGATGTTTCACAAGACATGGAAGATCCCTAGGTCCATGCTTGCATTTTGTTTTTGCAAGGAATCTGGGTCATGGTGGGACTGGAAGTCACTGAAGTGTTTACAGCACCAGCAAGATTTGGAGAGAGAGTTGATTAAGGCTTAGCTTCATGAAATATTTACACATCTCTTACGTGGGCTTTTGTTTGCTCTTGTTGGTGCTGCTGCATATTTTGCTTAATGATTGGAGCGGACTTCTCCCAATGTGCTTGTTTTCCAGTTATAAACTATTGTTTCTTTTCCATTGTGTTCACCATTGGCCTGCCCTGAGTAACAACTGTGGGAATAGAGATACATGAGTCACAGCAGACAGGCAGAAAATATTTTCTGCTGCTATCTGCGAATGGCAATCGTTTGTATGATAGGATGTTCTTTTGAAGGAGAATCATGAAGAACATTGTTTTAAGGCTTTGTGGGTTCTTAGGAGGGGGGGAATAGGTTGTTGATTCATAAGCAGAAAAATAAGTAGCAAGTGCCATTGCACATCTAGATGTTATTTCATTGGAATTTATTTTGGAAACAGCACAGAGGAAGTCGTAGAGACTCAGGTAGAGTGTGTTGTGGTGTGGTGAGGCTTTACCTAATCACTAACTAGCCTTTCATAAAAATGACAAGGACAGGCATCTGAGGTGCACAGCTTCATAGGGGAAGTGTAGGGTTGAAGAAAGATATGAGTCAGGTCAATTGGTGATGGAGGTCAGCAGTTTCCAACAAACTGCTTTGAAAACTTGGGTATTTTTTTAATTGCCTCAATATACTTACCCATTGCACTTAATTATTTGTCCCTGCAACATTTCTTTGATTGTGCCTCAAAAATACATATAAAAGGATATATCAGACACACCTATCCTTTACTGTATGGATTTTTGGTCATGAAAATCCCCTGCAGCTTATGGGGAATATTGTTCATGGAATCACAAAATCACAAAAAGAATGGCCTCAGAGAGGCCAGACATGCAATTCCAGTCCCAGCTCACACTCGAGCTCCTTCAGTGGCAGCTGTCTCTACCTTTTATATGCTCATTCACTGATTCATTCATGCATTCAACAAATATTTCTCCTGAACGAAACATGGTCCTAAATTGTGGGATTGAAGAGGGAAAAAGACACAGTGTCAGGCAGGAAGCCTTTGGAGAGAGGGAGTGAAGCTGGTTCAGTGCTGTGTCAGGGCGAGCACAGGGTGCTTGGGAGCAGGTGGTGGAGGTGGAGAGGACAAGGACAGTTCCCAAAGACCTGAAGAATCAGAGGAGCTAGTCTGGTCAAGAGGAGAGAGAAGGGCAGTCCTGGTGCAGTGACCAAATATGCAGAACCCCAGAAGAACAGGTAGCTCTAAGTAGTTGAAAAGCTGTGAGTAGATAAACATGGGAAGATGCAGACAGAGAAGGGAGCAGATCCATCTTCAGGGTGAAGTCCAGAAGAGCCGCTAACTCATCTGTTCAGCCAATCATTTGACCTGGAGAAGTTAGGTAAATGCATTCATATCAAGGCTCTATGTTGTTCACATTACCCAAGTTCATATGCTTCAAATGTCTTGGAACTATATTTACCTTAATTTATAAAAGTCTGATTAAAAGGGGGAATGTGTCCTTAAGAAAATCGCATTTTTTTCGTCTTATAAAATGTGAAAATGAAAAAATGAGAGAATGGAGCTTTGATTTTTAAAAAAGTGAGTTTTATAGAAATGCAGGGGATTTTATTTTTATAACAGCAGTGCTCAGGGCAAACGGATAAAAAAAAAATCTGTATATCCCAACCATTTCATTGTCCCAGATGATTCCAAAAGAGAAACTGAATGAAGAAAAATGTAACTTAGAATCAGAGGCAAAAGAAAGCCCAAAGGCCACATGCAATTTAAAGTTATTTTTTTAAGTGAGGGAAACATGTACAGTACTCCCATAGTAATCAATAAGTGCCCTTCTAGACATAGTCACAACCCATTGTGAAGTCAGTTTACTGTGTATAATAGCATTTTATTTTCAAAAAATAAAGTAAAACAGAATAGAAGGATAAAATTCACTGGATATTTCAATTAAATATTTATATGTATGAGCACACTAGACCATGATGCAAAAAAAGTATATTTTATTATGCATCATGTTGCCAAAAATCTAAAAGCTACTGCTTTCAGTGAATTAGAAAACAAATGCTTCCAGTTTTCAAGACTCCAAGAGTCAACTAGAAGATTAAATACATAAGCATTTATACAAAATTCTGAATAGAATTATCGGGAGAAAGGCAAGACATTATGATTTACCAATAAATTCATGGCAGTAAGGTTAAAGGAGACTGCGAACCTCGGGGACTGAATTAGCCTACAGAGCTTCAAAGAGAAGGTATAACTTGAGCTAGTTTATGGAAGATGGACAGATCTGAGTGGATAGTGAGGAAGAGTTGATGATATAGAAGGAAGTAAAGAATGAGGTGGCATAATGTGAAGCTTGTTTAAGACTCATCTAGGGCCATGGCCAGGTAGCTCAGTTGGGTAGAGAGTTGTCTGGATACACCAATATCGCAGGTTCGATTTCTGGTCAGGGTGATAGAAGAATCAAGCAATGAATGCATAAGTAAGTGGAACAACAAATCAATGTCTCTCTCTAAATTTTTTTTAAAAAATCATTTAGAAAATAAATTTAGAAAATATTTTTAAAAATCATTTAGAAAATAAAAAAATGAATATCAAATTATGGGGAGAGAATTGCAGCAGAATTTTTGTTCAGATGAAAATATTACTCAAGAGCTGCTATTTATTTTATATCTAAGATTTCTTTTCCTAATACATCTACTCTAAGAAAATCTGGACAGAGTGGCCAAAGCATCATAAATTTGTCATTTCCTGCCATCTTTTTATTTCTTTCACAATAATTTCCAGGCTTGGCCTGTTTCAACTGAATTTAACGGTTGAGCTACTGAAATTACGTGATGCGCATATTGTAGCATGATTAGTTCATTTCTTAGAACACAAGCACAATCTTTAGCACAGGAGGTAAGGGTGATCAAGTTTTAAACTGAGTGAATCCTTCAACAAGTCTCCATTTTTTTGTGAAAGTCATTTTTTTTTTCAAACCTTAAAGGTATTTCTTTTTTTCAATTCAATTGGGCATGCTTTTCTTTTTTTTAATTTAAATTTAAATTCTTTGTTGTTTAAAGTATTACATATGTTTCCTTTTCTTCCCATTGACCTCTCCCTGGCTATTCCCATGCCCCAGCACATGCCTCACCCTGCTACTGTCTGTGTCCATGGGTTATGCTTATATGCATCTATACAAGTCCTTTGGTTGATCTCTTACCCCCACTTCCCCTGCTTCCCTCTGAAGTTGGATGATTTGTTAGGATGCTTCTCTGTCTCTGGATCTGTTTTTGTTCATCAGTTTATGTTGTTTATTATATTCCACAAAAGAGCGAGATCATGTGATATTTATCTTTCTCTGACTGGCTTATTTCACTTAGCATAATGCTCTCCAGGTCCATCCATGCTGTTGCAAATGGTAGGAGTTCCTTTTTACAGCAGTGTAGTATTCCATTGTATAGATGTACCACAAATTTTTTTAATCCAATTATCTGCTGATGGGCACCTAAGCTGTTTCCAAATCTTAGCTATGGGAAATTGTGCTGCTATGAACATAGGGGTGCATATATCCTTTTTGATGGTGTTTTTAGTTTTTTGGAATATATTCCTAGAAGTGGGATCACTGGGTCAAATGGGAGTTCCATTTTTAGGTTTTTGAGGAAATGCCGTACTGTTCTCCACAGAGGTGCACCAAACCGCATTCCCACCAGCAGTGCACGAGGGTTCCCTTTTCTCCACATCCTCACCAGCACTTGTCATTTGTCGATTTGTTGATGGAATCTCCT